ATAGAAAGTAAAATGTAACAAGCAACTTTCAGTTTTAAATGAAGTGGTTTATGTCAAAAAATGATAATTTTACAAATATACCCTTACGAACTTAAATCCTTATAATTTTTTCAAAATAAAAACATCCCAAATTGAATGAAATCTTCACCCATAGATTAAGCAAACAAAAAGAAATTACAAGTCATTCAAAAATATTTTCTATTAAATTATTTGTAAAAATTTTCAAATAATAAACTTGTTTGATAAAAACAATAATTCATAAAAAATTTATAAGAATTTAAATTGAATTAAAAATTTTAGGAATTGTATATAATCTAATTCCAAGCAAATACGTAAAATTTCGAGGGTTTTGGAGGTCATTTAGGTTCATAATGTGAGGTAAATTGGAATACATCCTACCATATTAGGATGTATTGTTGAGGTAGATTAAACCAATATAAAATATTTATATTATTACTTCTCACTGTGATGACTTTGATTTTTGTATCACATTTTATCTTTTTTATTTAATATTAGGATACAAATATCTTGACCCTTTGCAATATTTGTTACATTCTACCATATTAGAATGGAAATACATTATTTTTTAATATGTTACTAATCTAAAATGTTAATATGTTAAGTCCATACTATGATGTGTATGTTTAAGGAAGAAAATTTGGTTACTTGTTACCTTATTGAGATGGCAATATATTATTTTTAAAATTTTCAAAGACTAAAATGTTAATATGCCAATTCATATGACATTTATTATTGCATACTATGATGTGTGTATAATACTTATTCTATAAGATGTTCATCTGAACTGTAAAAAGAATATATAAATCTTCTCCACAAGCCTTTGATTCACTTAAAAATCATCAATTATCTCCGAAATCCAAAGGATCTTGGATTTGATCTTTTAATACATACAATTATAGAGCATACAAGGGCTATATAACACATAATAAGGGTGGCATTAAACATTATTATGTTCATTTCTCTGTATATCACTCATTCACTCCTGGAGACGACTCAATTTAGATGTGTTGGTTAAAATTACCAAAGAACGTTTACGACCTCACTTTATCGAGCCGCGCCCTTATCTCCTCTAGCTCTCCCTCATCATCTACACCTTCAGCTATTGCCTCAGACTATCAAGAAAATAAAATAATAATAATAATAATAATAAAATTTAAACTAGTAAATCGAAGATTTCATAATAGGTCACCAATGCTTACCTGTTGCTCTGCTTTCTGGCTGGAAGCAGGTTGCTTTATCCTTCCCTTCCTAACTGCATCTGGAAGCTGGGAAGCTGTCTCACCAGCTATAGCAGTAAGCACCTTCTCAATCTCCTCTTCAGTTTCCTCTTCTATGTCTTCAGAGTCCAGAGCTGAATCAACAGCATCATTCACCATTTCCTCAATGACACCAGCCTGGAAATTTGCAAGAGAGACAGAAATATGATGGTCATTATTTGATTAAGAAAAAAATTAAGTTAAAAGCCCAAGGTTGAAATAGTCATCATCAACATTCTTCCTTTGTGCAACATATGTTTAGGGAAATTTATGGAAATTGAATGGAAGGTAATTAACATCCCTGTGAATAAGGTTTTAATCATATAAAATTGGGACACGGTCCTTAGTAGGACCAACCAAAACACTAATTTTTATAAGCCAAGCAAAATAGGAAGATGGAAAGGTGCTTAAATTTGAATGTTTTAGCTGATTCTGTAGTGAAGTTGGTCCTTGCTGAAGGAAACATTGACAACCAAAGCCTAGGCGGCTTGGTCTTAGCTACCCTTAGGTTTAGATCATAAAGAGAAAAACACTAGAGTTGATTTCATGAAAAGTTTGATGTCAACTAAAATAGCTTACAAAATACTTGGTCTTTTCTTTTTTAGAAACCTGTAGAAATGAAATAAATGCTTTACGCAAAAGGGTAAGAACCAAAAAGATACTTTTATTCAGGATCAAAACGAACAGGCAGGTCAACTGGTTCATCAAAAGTATCTCGGCGAAATCATTGGTCTTGAAAATGAAGTTATGGAAATTGACGTGGTCTAAAGTTGCGGTGTCAAGAATTGACCGGGCAAGCCAAATCTACTTGAAAATTCCATGTTCAGATTGGACCGAATAACTTTTGGATCCAGTTCAAGTTAGGAATAGGTTAAGAATCCTAACCCGTTTAATTTTTTGGTCGGATATGAGTTGACTTGCCAACCCAAAAAAGACCCACCGACTCAAAATTGACCCGTTAACTTAAAATGAACACAAAATTCGCCCGCCAACCAGAAATTGACCCGAGTTTAGCTTGAATAGTTATTATACCTTATGTTAAACAAGTTATACAAGTCTAGATCGTAAAGCGGATTGGGTTAATGTTGGACTATCTAACACGTTTATTATTCAGGTCAGGTTCAGGTTGGGTCAATTTCGGGCCACAACCACACCCAATTTGACACTCCTAGTCTAAAGGCAAGCAAAGCCTGGCCCAAAATTGACCCACACCACCCACACCCAATTTGACATTCCTAGTCTAAAGGCAAGCGTAACCGTACACATGATTGCCCGAAATTGACCCACAAACCCAATTTTGACACCTCTTAGTCTAAAGGCAAGTGAAGCTGTAGACATGGCCATAGAAAATGCAAGTTAAAATGCTTCAGTTACCCTAATCAAAGGTCCACTACTTTCAGTTTCTAGTGCAATGAATCCTTCTTCCCCATTAACGAACATGTTCCTAAAAACATAAAGCAATGATAGGAATATTTATCACTCATCCGGGCTGAGCTCGCAGAAACTGTTTGGATTAAATTCTGAAATTAAGGGTCTATTCGGGTGGCGGCAAGGCTGCGGCCTGCCGCGATATTCGCTGAATGAGTTAAGGGTCTGTTGTTGGATGAGCAGTGAAACAGACAAACCAACTACATACTTTTTGGTGTTAGATATGTTAATATTTAAGAATAGGATGGCATGTATGTAATGCTCCCCAAAAAAACAGTTTCCAACTCAAATATTTTGTGTCATATCAAATTATAGGTGTTTAATATGTATATGCACAAAACATGTATGTTATATATGTAAATCACCCAATATTTTAGTGATATTGGTTTAAACCATGTTCAAGCTTGGATACAAACCAGTTTCAGAAAGCTCAAACTTCAATATCTAGTCCTCTAATGCAAGAGGCTATCCCCAGAACTATAATTTCGTCTCGGATGCAGGTTTCTATAATGAAAATAGCATAGGGATTTTTGTCTAAATATCTATATTTTGAGGCATATGATGTTCAATTTCCTCTTGCTTTTTTATTAGATAAAATTTGTGAATCTTACATATATATACCACACAATTCTTATGATTTTTCTATCTCTAGCACTTTTGTGTCCAAAGTTTGGCTTGAAAAAGTGTGTTTCAATTTTAAAAATGTTAGTAAATGTGGCACTTTCAGTGCTCACTGTTAAGTGAGTTGTGTATCTGAACTTTTGTTCTGTTTTGAAATAAATTTCTGCTTCTGAATTATCAAATATGTGGTTGTCATAGTTCTGTTTTAAACAACTTCACTAAACATGAACAAAATGATCATTTTTCAAGAAAAAACTACACCACAGCTGTATTCACACAGCTGCAACAAACAAGCAGCCAACTTCCCTGCAGCAGCTTTCTGAGGCAGCGTAGCTATGACTGAAAAGCTGAGAAGCTGCAACTGCCCCAAACATACGTAACTCTGATCCCGAGTGCATATGTTCATGTTTAGTAATCAATAAGGTCAAATCTACCATGATTCAAGGCAGGCAAATCTAACTCTATGGATGAAAAGAGAAGAAAATCCACCATCTAAAGACCATCAATCACACATCTAAAATGAGCATATAAAACTTTTAATGAACAAGAACATCACTATAAGATGATTTCAGTAAGGTTGAAAACACAATTGCTATCAAGTATGAGGCTTATAGACAGTGCCAGTGCCTTCAACCGTTAAACTAAAATCATCAAAAGTTGATATTTAAAACCAAAGTTTCTGATGTGAAATCATTACTCGAATGCCCAAAGCTAAAGCTATAATACATCATTATAGTTCTCAATAGATGATATTTGGCAATGACGATATCAACATAGAAAATGACTGGTCAAATTTAATATAGAATTACTAACATTGAACTTATTATAATTGCTAAAGGTAATTATGTAGAACTTCTATAAAGAAGTCAGGTCAATAATAGTGCAAAATCAATGATAAAAAAACAATAAAAGAACCAAGCTAAAAGTAGTTAAAAGAACGAAACTTAGCCACAAATAACTCACCTTTGTCATTTCCTTGCTAAATTCCTGCATGGTCGTCGCCACTTCAGGAGCCTTCATGAGACTACTGACTAGCTTCATTACCTCAGCGCTCTTGGAGAGATGACCAACAGTTCTAGCAGTAGCTAGTTGTCACATACAGAAAATAATTAATGTGGGTATATAGATCTGATATACAAGGATAATAAGAAATGAAATCAAATAATGATTCACTTTAAATTCAGCCAAAAAAAAAAGAAAAAAACTGACTGGAAACATGATTCAATCAAGCTCCTAAAGTTTGCATGAAAAGCAAATTGATTTTCTTGGTTAAATAAGAGCGCCTAGAGCCGGGAACATTTTGGTTGTACAAGGATGAAAGTTTTAAAAGAAACGGGTTTGGGGAACCGGATAAAACTAAGCATTTGTCGAAATAAAACAAACATAAAAGAGAGAAGTAAACGTTGATGAACTTTTAGGCGTTTGTCATTGTTCAAATTGTAGAAGGAATGGAATAAAAAATATATTAACAGCTTATGAAGCACGATAATCGACTAAAGATACAAAGATGACAAATGTAAAAAGTAGGCAACGGTATGCCATTTCATGCCATGAACGTTTTAGCTAATTCTCTAGATACACTGCCATCATAATATAAACATGTAATCAAAACGCCAAATGTCGACAACGTTAAATTAAAACATCAAAGAATGAAATATCATATGATATGTATCACATAGAAAGCTTAAGGATCAACAAAAGAAAAGCTACCGCTGGCTTAATTATCAGTGTGTTTTGATATCTCATCTAGCATGCTTAATATTGTTAACATAACACCGTTAGCTTTAATAATTAGACATACGTAGTCAATATTAACAATGTATTGCCCACACACGTAGTCAATATTAACAATGTATTGCCCACACAAAATACTAAAAACCCAAAAAAGAGTATATAAACTTTAAAATAACCACACAAAATATGAACACGTCGATGCATCACTAACCAAACAAAATACATTGGGTTAGGGTTGTCAAAAAAGCTCGTTGTTATCGAGTAATTCGTGTTCGATTCGTTCGATAAGCAAACGAGATGAACACAAATAATTTTTTCGTTCAATTTGTTAAACGAACCAAACACGAACAGTGATGTGTTCGTTCGTGTTTGAATCGTTATGTTCGAAATACAAAAAAAAATTAAAATAAATATATATAAAAAATTTATGATATTTTAAAAATAATTATAATGTATAATAAATTACTAATAATACATTTATTTATATATACATTTATATAATATAATATATTTATATATATAAGGTATATAATTAATA